TATTCGAGTCTACACTCATGAAGACCCTAGGTACTTAGCAGTAAAATTAGGATCTTTGCCATTTAGATCTACATAGATACTCATGAGACAGCGTCTCTACGGGGACTCAGAAATTGGAAACTCTCTTTAGAGACTCTGCTCGGGGTTTGCTCTACGCCTCACATGGGGGCCAAGATACTTCGTTAGCGAAGGCTGGCTAGATGTGCGTCAGCTTATTCGGGACGTAATTTGCTCAGCTATCCAGCAGTTGCTTGTTCTCGGTTGATTTTACACACTCAAACACTCAAACATACTCGTTGGCTTACATTCGGATAGCCATCCTTCCTCTCGGGTCCCGCTGTCCCGCGTTCAATTTAGCATTTCCCCGGGGTTCCTTGTCTACGTGTCGATCATGGCATGATTTTCTCAACCTCAAATCTTCAATGAATACCGACGAGCGAAGTAGCGTATCGGATATTGGCCTAATTAGGTGAAGTAAGAGAATGATTCGGGAAAGTCTTCATTAAGACTACATGTTCTAGGCCACGTAAACCCTGTACAGCTGACGGCATTCAGCAGTCCTGTGTCTCCCGGTGAGGGCTATAGAGGGCCTAGATCAAGAACGACATGCCGCGACTTGGTTATTCCGGAGCTGTCAACGCGGATTGTGGCTAAGTTTGTCTATACTTTACGGCCGAGCAAACAGCAAGCGAGTATCTTGTGAATGGACATCAAGTACCGGGACTCCAAACTCCCTAATGGGTGAGCAACAAGCCATCAAGGCCCAATGTCATGAAAGGACCGATAAGGCATCATAGTTAAAACGGTTTGAAACATCAAATAGGTATTACCACCTCACCGTGTCAAAAAGGGGGAGATGGGGAGATATGGGGGCCTGACAGTCGAGTGCCACGATGCCATCGGGCATGACGAAACGAAACGAAATCGCTGTGCCACCTCACCTTTGGATGAATTCCGGGTTCTCCGTCATACATGAATTACCCGTTAGTGGCATATGTACACTTTCCTATTCCAGTTCGATGTCAACAATTTGGTATACTTCTGTTTACCTATGAAGTTAGGTTTTTGGAGATTGGTGGGAAGGAATGAATAACACATGAGCAAACACGACGAAAGCCAAGATTACTTGGAGGCCTCAACACTATCTATCACTAACCTACTTGTTATCTTTTACGTCTCTTTCCACTCAGCCTGTTAGGTATTCATGCTTTTTCTGAAACCCAAGGCTGCTTGCCTGCCTACAACCTATTAGGTACCTACTTGAAGGTATAATATGCAGGAGGCTTTAACCAATATAATGTATGTACGTCTCGCCCGATACCCGTACCACCGTGGCAGCCATCCCAAGTTCCGGGGATGATCCTAACTTGCCACCACCCCGCCCAATGGCAACCCAACCAGCTATGATGACTCTACAGATCAAAGTCACGTATGTTTGACCTTTGGGTTTAGACGTGCATTAGTCTTCGACTCAGATACCCAAGCTTGGTTCTATTCCAACGTATGGGTAATCTTCAAGTGGCGTCTCATTATACATTAGGTATATTGTATTTAGTTGTAAGATAAGTTAGGGGGTGTGTTCAGATACCTACCAAGTAGTAGTTTGCGAAGACTATGTCTAGAAGGTGCATATTCCATTGCCAGGCCTATGAGCGGGCTTGGGGTCCTTCTGTGCAACGTTTCTACCATTGTATCTCTAGCTATTCTCACACTTGATATCTTTCTGCTTATCAGCCTACATAGGTCAGGCGTCATGGAGACAGATCTTCTCAGATAGGAGGTGGCTAATGACATTCAAGATATACGAAAAGCAGACCTCGGCAGATGAAATAGGTCTATTTTACGCAATGATCCCACGTATCCAGCTGTACTAATGAGGCCTCAAGCATGAAGGCCAAACGTCATGTGTTCATACAGCCCATCACCCTGATCCATTCAGTAAATGAAAAACAGCCTTACTCTACATAGTTTGCTAACAGACAATACATACGTATTGCAAAGTTCCCGGACTTCGCTCCGCAGCTCTCTGAATGGATTGCGCGTGTAGTCATCTTCAGACCTCTTGTGAGACAATGTCTCACGAATGAGAAAGTTAGCCGAATTAGGGGACTCTCAACTCAAGATACTGCAGATCTTCGGTGGAATGAGCTCCTCCCAACCCCTAACTAAGCTGACTGCACGGTACTTTACTTGCTCAAGTAGAGACTTTATTGATCAATACACCACAGGGCTGTGAGTCCTTATTGGTCTATTGGCCCCCGGGGCTCAATGAGTCAGTTGGGAATTGCTCTATTAGTGAGCCACGAGAGTATTCAAGCAGGCCATTAGATAGCAGATGCAGATAATATTTAAAAATGACGGCAAGACAACCATCTTCATTATCTAGTTCATCGATTTAATTTAGCGTATTTATTTGTTCTTAGTCGTGTGTCTGACTTGGCTGTTGTCTGAAAATGACGATAGTAATCATCGCTGAGTATAATCATACCCCTATATGCTGCTTGATGCAGGTTTAACCGACGATGTACGCTTACTCACTGTATGCTGTGTAGAGATCCGAGTTAATTAACTAGCTGCCTGGCGAAGAAATCATATAGTCTCTACTGCATTGATTATATCGACAGCTTCTGTGCAACGTCAAGCTTGGAACAGCAACAAAGAAAGTCCTTGAGGTGGAGAGTGAATCACGTACAGATACATGCGCGATAAAATACGACATATTGGTAATAAATCAAGGCAGCTAGGCTTATATGGATATCACGGAGTAGAGGGAGTCTTGTTGTGGATCATGCTGGATATGTAGTTGGGCATGGAGAATGTAGGTTACCTAGTAGAGTTAACACCTGAAAGATAATACCTTGGCTTGAGGGACGTAGGAAGAAACAATGAGAACCAAGAGAGACATGTAGACCTCCTATGTATCATTTGCTGCGAACGAACCTAGGTTAGAAAACAAAGGGAAAAGCTTGAGCATCGTTATTCATAGTACTGATCTCTAGCTAGGAATATATCACTACGATATTATGGATATACCGATATACCGGAGTATATGTTGAGAGGTAGCTTTGAACATAACGAGAAATTGAAATTTCCAATCTTTTTGTATCCTAGCGATATCTATGATACCAGTCGGTTTATTACCTAGTAGACATAGGATCTCTTTCTTCAGCCAAAGTGAATCATACCTGGTAACATATAAACTAATAAGTACGGGAGAAGAGTCACATGTGGGTTATAGCCGTTTATGGGGAAGTGGAAACCATCTCACCCCATCTAACATTATGGTATCCTTTCTACTGTCTACCTAGCCAAGGGCCAACTAATCCCCAATAACCTGGTTGTGGATCCACTTACTGGGTATCGATAGTTGAAATAAATCGTATTTGATGCTGTCGTAAGAGCTAGTTTACTAGGTACTCATCCTGAGTGAAAGTCATGAATGATAACCAGCACGGTTTCCATAGTTAAGTAAATACTGGATCTACCTACCATTGTACCTATCTAGTATATTGTTTGGTACCTAGGTAGTTTGAGGCAAGTATAGCCCCTTTTCTTATAAGATTTGAAAGTCGAAGTATCTACCAGGAGTCTTCCGGGGACTGGTTTTCATAAGAATGCCAAGAAATGATTAAGGGGCCAAGAAGTGAAAGGGGGTTGAACTCATCTAGCCCTGGCCATTGAATAGGTGATCTTCTTGAGTGTTCACCCAGTGCGTAGGAGGCATAGGCGTTGATAATCCATACAAAATGGCTAATATGAGCGCGGCTCTCGTGTCAAACTATCCTATTCGTTGGATAATATTTAATGTTATTCTCTCCTTAGCTGCTGGTCAGCAGAGCACACGATGTATATATATCAGGGGATGACTCAACTCCCCCCTTTTTTAGAATATCATTCAAGGTACCTACCTAGGCGTTAATACAGTTATCGTTCCCAATGTAATTCCTGGCTTCTATCTAGCTACCGAGATACTACTGTAGACTTTCTGTCACCTAACTCAAGACCTTAAAAGTTGAATGTTGCAGGTGTCCGAGGCACCATAGGCTCCACTGGGGCCATATGGGTCATATGGCCATATATTGGCACTCCGCCAGAGTAGTCAGGAATAAGCCAAGCTTTCTTCCTTCTATCTTCCTTCTTCTTAGTGGCAGTTTTGCTGCAATATTGAATCACGGGACAGGTCCTGACATTTAGATGTACAACTCGAGGAAAGTCCCCTAAACCATCCTCTCATTCAATTCGTGGATCACCCGTCAAGGGTCCACTCAGGGGCTAGCTAAGGCAGAGAAGGCTATATGGGGAGCTCGCCAGAACGAAGAGGACTACATAGATATATGTAGGACCCGTAGTCTCTAACCTAGAGGGATTCTAGAGATCACTGCACAGCAATTATATTGTTCTGTCTTCCAGAATCCATCTCTTGACATCGCTACTCGAAAGCTCGGAAGTGAAGTTTGGGAGTAGCTGATTTGCCCATTAGGGGGAATCCCCACTCAATTTTCAAGGAACAGTCGGAAATGCCCCCTTTGGTAGACCTTCACTGATCCATAGCTTGTTCACGTGTACACGAAATGTTAGGGGCTATGTTATGGTTAATAATAGGTATAGGTAATGGCAGGGTATTTTATATGAGAGATACGGAACACATTGTAGTGTCTGATACTCCAACATCAAGTTTCGTTACCTAAGTGGAGTCGGCCGAAAGGGGACTATAGGCATCTTCAGTGGTTCCAAGAGGATCATCCCGCCCTTCTATTATGAAATTGACATTGAGCTGGCTAATTAGGTACCTATTAGATACCTAACCTAAGGAGGTGCGTGATAAGGATGTATTAGACACATAGAATTACAGTCCTCCAACAACCAGAATCAAGCGATATCTTCGCTATCTAGGTGACCTCGGAAGTTACTCATCAAAGACTAAGCAGCCGGTTTTTCAAGTGCATGTATGTCCATGTTGATGACTTGTAAGTTTGTCCCTGTGAGGAGCAGTCTGACGGTCAGTTCCACTTCACTCCAAATAGTTTAAACTTCTTAGTATCTCCGTCAGATTTTGACTTGGCATTGGCATTTTCCAAGTAAATTTTTGGATGGCCCTTGACGTCGAGGATAAGGTATTTATACTCGAATTCGTCATGATTAACACGCTTGACTAGGTGCATGCGTACAAGTCCCTCGTTCAACGGTCCCTCAACCTATGTACTTGTTAGATATATCGAGGTTCACGTATAAAAGTCTGGACCCACATGGAATTGTATTATCATATGTTCGTTGCCTTGAGCATCCGTATTCATCGTCGCGCTGTGACGGATTAGTAGGGACATGAGTTTGAATACCCGGGTAGGTATGTTGATCAAGTGGACTGTACCTAATTGGACGGGCACGGCGCCATTTATTCAAGGTCGCATCACCGTGTGCTATGATTTTCTTGCTATCGCCAAGGATTGCGATGCATTCCGGATCCTTCTTGATTCGGTTGACGGCTCGATTGAAATAGGCCGTTTTGCTATCGGGAGAGAAGACTTCCTGATAGAGAAAGTACCCAACGCCTCCCTACTCAATGGCACCTTAGCGTACTGTGCATTCATGGAAGCGATCGATAAGGTGAAGTTACCGTCATGACCAAGCCGACTATGACAAGACCAAAATTGAAGGTCTGTTGTGTAGTACGCCATGCCTTCTCCGTAGTAGATAGGTCTTGCCATGGCACGAAACCAGTGTCGTTGAATGGCGTAACTGCCTTTCTCTTGGAGGTAGATGAGGGAGATGAGGCAGATGAGTTAATCTTTATCCCACGATGGTGAATGGCATAATAGCCATGACGAACAACGACAGGATGTAGTCGTGAAATAATAGCAATAGCGCTTGAAGGCCGGGATATGGGGGATGTGAGCTTCATTACGGTGTCATGAAGTCCATCGGAGCTGACTATATCGATCTTTGATCGTATACGGTAAGGCTCAGCCTTACACTTAGAATCCTTGTTTGCGCTTTTGAAGTTTTCGGCGGTTGTGCGATTGAAGGGAATAAATGGAGTTGAATGGAGTTGATTGAAGCTTCAATCAAATGCATGGATGATAATGTGGGGAGCTGTACCTACGTGACAAGGGGCTGAGGGCCAGTAGATAGTAACGGATAAGGCGTCATGGCAGCCTTAGCACGACTACACGCTAAGCCCATACTTGGTCTAGCGTATCAATTAAGAGATATGAAGTGGGTCCTTTGACATATCTTTTGATGTGGCTTTTTTGGCGAAATGTGGCCGAACTTCCAACTCCTGACTCGATTTGTTCAATTTCCAAGTTTAACAACCTTGACTTGATTTTTAACAACCTCCCCGGGATTCTTTCCTCCCCTACCCCTATTCACATTCGCGAATTGCATTCATATTTTAGATATATCGACATATCCAATCTAGCAAGATGAGTGTGCTTGCGACTAAGCAACAGTCGCAGAAGATCTTTGAGAAATTGAAGACCAAGCCTGCGAATAGGGTGCGTGATAATCCACTGGATCCGCGAACGCGTCCATACCAAGAAAGAAATAAGGAAGATGACTAACATTGTCTATCATATATAAGATATGCTTTGACTGCGGGCAGAAGAATCCTACGTGGACCTCCGTGCCATTTGGCATCTACCTATGTCTCGACTGCTCCTCTAACCACCGAAACCTCGGTGTCCACATCTCCTTTGTTCGCTCCACCAACCTTGATCGTACGCCACTCTACCAAGTCTACCTACCTTCTACACCCACCTAGCGCTAATACTATATCTAGAGTGGCAATGGGATCAGCTACGCGTTATGAAAGTTGGCGGCAATGAATCCGCCACTAAGTACTTTCGCGCAAATGGCGGTAGCGCTGCCCTTGCTAGCAAGGACCCGAAGACCAAGTACCAATCCAATGTAGCGACCAAGTACAAGGATGAGCTTAAGAAGCGCGCCGCCCGAGACGCTCTTGAGTACCCCGAAGAGGTTGTTGTCACTGACGTACCTGGCGATGGCGCTGAGGGGTCTGCAACCCCGGCGAGCGAACCGAGTGATGACTTCTTTTCTTCTTGGGATAAGCCATCCATCAAGAGACCCACACCGCCTATTTCGCGAACTAACACACCGCCCGTTGTCGGTCGAACTGCGTCTCCATTCCTCAACGCTAATGCCAATGGCAAGGAGATCTCGAGATCTTCGTCTCCTCTAGCCAAGTCGGACTCTGCCAATGATGCCAAACCTGCCGCCAGTCGTACTACTACTTCCGCTGCACTTCGGAAGACAAACACGGGGCCTCGCAAAGCCAATGTCTTGGGCGCAAAGAAAACTACTACCAAGCTCGGAGCAAAGAAGGTCACTGGAGATATTATCGACTTTGACGAGGCGGAGAAAAAGGCTAAGGAAGAGGCCGAACGAATTGCGAAACTAGGTTACGATCCTGAGGCTGAAGAGGCCGAAGCTAAGCAGACAACCACAACCAAAACTGAAGCCTCTAACGTAGTTTCACCGACGCCAGTGAGCCCGCGTGGCTATGGATCTGGTCATTCACGTGAAAAGTCCGCCGCTGAGGTCGAGCGATTAGGTATGGGTTTCGGAAGGCTAGGATTTGGACAAGTTGGAGGTGGCAAGGCCGCCGCCAGCTCCGCGCCCAAGAAGAATGCTGGCGGATTTGGTTCAGTCGGTCCTGTTAAATCGACTTCTGAAGGTAAGTCCTTGACACTGCCAGCTGAATATCCATAATGTTTTACTAAATTGTGAGATAGAAAACGAAGAGCGCTATGCGCGAAACAAGTTCGGAACCCAAAAGGGAATTTCTTCGGACGAATTCTTCGGAAAGGGTGCGTTCGACCCCAATTCCCAGGCCGAGGCCAAGACCCGCCTGCAAGGATTCGAGGGTGCCACCTCCATCTCGTCGAACGCTTACTTCGGTCGACCCGAAGACGAAGATCCAGCGGATGACTACGGCGATCTCGAATCCGCTGCCAAGGATTTTATTCGAAAATTCGGCATCACTGCCGGCGATGACCTCGACAACCTCACAAGCGCATTGGGTGAAGGTGCTACCAGACTGCAAGGTGCCATCCGAAACTACCTCAATGGTTAAACCAGGTAGAAATGGTTATATAGAGCACCCCACTGGTGGGATGGGAGGAAAGTTGTCAATGACTTATCCCCCCCAATTTGACAGTCCTACGGTTGTTGGGACAAGCTGGCTGAGCTGTATAAGCCTGATACTAGGCAATTGAACACAATACACATGAGACAAGATGCGACGAACGGTATAGGGGTTACCATGATAAACAACGACGGCTGTGTTTGGCCTACGATTCGGGACGTCTAGAATAATTGGCGTGGTACGCGTAGTACCTAATAAAAACGATTATACATATATTTACCTACCTAGATGATGACATCGGAAGTAGGATATGTTTCTCCAAGATTCGATTTGTAGATGTGTATACCTAGTAGTAAACAAATACGGAGCGGTGATGTAGGTACGAATGAGGATTATCTTAACTAACCTAGGTAAGTTAGGCTTTGCGAAAACACGTGATACCCCTTACGGGCAAACAGCCAACGATCCTCCTTGCCCCCTTTTTTTCTCCTTTGACTTTTTCCCTTCGTTCGCTTTTTTACTAGGGGGGTAATCAGGTAGGTTGGGTAACACTAGTCTTCAAGTTCGATGAATTATCGAATATCAATAACTATGTCTGTCTTTGTCTGTCTGTCTGTCTGTCTACTACGACCAACCTACAACCCCAACAACAATAACAACGACGATTATAGCAACAGCATGCAACATCTCATGATAAAATATTTCAATAAAATTTCAATTCACCGCGTCTTAGCCGTGACCAGAGACCTTGTTGTCTATAACCATTATTACCAAGTCCCCGTTACCTGTGGTGTGTTTGTGTGTATGCTATTTCTTTCATCAGTGTCATATCCTCCTTTTTGGATTGCAAACAGGATTCGATAAGAGAATCAAATCAAAACCAGGAATAGAAATAACCCGCCCACCCGCACTTCCGTAAGGGGGGGTAAGGAAATATTAGTAGGTAGTAAGTAGGTACCCTTCATCAGTAATTAAACCCTCCAAATTTTAGTCTCGCTTTGGGAGTATTCCTATTCCTCTTCCTCATCCTCCTTTTTGTCACAGCCTATCTTTCACTAAAGGCTAGCCTGCTCTTGAACTCTTCGAACCTCTTGTTGACATTGACACCGTTCCACGTCTCCTCTCCATCTTCGTCTTTCCCAAGCGTCGGTGTGCCAACTTGCTCTATTGCAAAACTCGCAGCGACGGATCCCCACGCAGCGGCTTCTTCGAGGTTTTTGCCCCTAGCTAGTGCGACGGCCAGCCCGCCTAGGAACGTGTTGCCGCCGCCAGTCGGGTCGACGACTTTCTCCGGTTCCGTGTGATACGCGGGGATCCAACGCTCGACGCCAGGATCGACCTCAATCTCCTCCCGAGCAATGCTGCCTTCGGGATCTTGGAGGAGCCCAGCAAAAAGGGCTTCCATGTCGGTGTCAGGCCGCAAGCCCCCGTGTAGGAAAGCGGATGGCTTCTTGCTTCGGGGCACTGAAGGTCGCGTCTTGCGCTTGCGACCGCCATTGCGCGCGAGATAGCACCCTTTCTCTCCAGCGCGGACTACAATGGCGAAAGATTGCAGGGGCATCGAACCCAACAGCTGCTCACATGCGCGCTCGATTGCTTTTGTGCTGATTTCACCTGTGTCCGGATCCAGACCAGAGTCACCCATAAACCCTGCTAGTTCGGCATGGTTTGGGCTAATGATGTCAATCAAAGGTAAGGTGTTGGTACAGTTGAGCAACTCGTCTGGAGTACAAAGATCCGGCACGGGCTCCCAAATGAAGATAGGTTTGGGAAGGGCCCCACCATCTGGTCCAGAGAGCCCACTTCGGCGGGCCTTGATCTCTGTGACGAGCTCACGACAGCGAGTAGGGGAGCAGATGAGGTGGAAAGAGCGAGAAGTAAGAAGAGATGTGGATAGATCCTCAGCCGTAAGTCGTTTCTTGGGGGTCAAGTAGCGGAAAGCACGGTTCTGATGAGCATCGTAACCATTCCAGCCATGAGTTGTGAGGCGATCTGGCGTGGGTCGGATGATTACCGAAGTATCCCAAGTGGACACAAGTTCTTCGAGGGCAGGTGGGAAATCGGAACCCTTATCGATGATCCACCCGACGGAGCGGGAGAGAGGCGGCGGGGAGAAAAGCCGGGCGCCCAGTGCCGAATAGGTGCCGGCGCCACCAAGGATATCTTTCACGGGCGGCGTCGGAGGCAGGTACTCGATTTCATCTAAAATCTGTTATTAACCGAATTGCACTGATATACTAATAATTGTCTAGCTCATTTCAATAGCATGTGATGGTATGTCGAGGCGGTGAGTGTTCAAACAATAGTATTGGGATAACTATGGTCGAAAATGCAAAATATCAAGTAGGCATGTATCAAACAAGTCAAGTAGGTAGCTTCAAGTCTATCTACGATCGAATTTGATTGTATTTTCTTTGTTCCCTTAGTGTTTGATTGCCATCATCCGCCAAGTTGGCAACGGTGGGTGAGTGACAGATCAAGCCCAATAAGGAAACAAAAACGAAATAGTTCATAGGTTGGTTGGGACGAACAAGATGGGGTCTCGAGAAAATAGGACGCACGAGAACACACAAAAAAAAGGAAAGAAAGGGAAATAAATTGTAACATACCGATGATGAACATGCCCAATGTGACAAAGTCAATCTCATGAGGACTTGAAGCTTCATGAGAAGCTTCATCGGCATCCTCAGATTTGGGTGTATGTTGGGTATCCTGGGCATCCATCGTCACTTATTTGATTTCCTTCTTTCAGATCTCATAGACCAGCTGTTTGGAGTCATGTCATATCATATATCATACGGTGTAAAAGTAGATTTGAGATTTGGAGGTGCATGAATTCCCCCCCCTAGACCGCTCTCTCGAAATACGTGGGTAGCTACTAGGTAGATTTGCATGTGTGTGTGTCGTAGCAACGAAGTTAGGTACTAGTCAAGTAGTTAAGTAGGGGAAGACCAAAAAAAGAGGGCTGCACTGCAGGTCTGAGATGACGTTGTACCTTATATGTACCTAGCCAAAAAAGCTTCTAATGTTTGATAAATGTTTTTGATAGGTGAAAATGGGTTATCAGGCTGAAGCTGGTACTATATGTATCATAATGTATGTAGCCTCACTCTTCCATTTTAAGCTTTCCTGTTAACTAAGTCATATACCCAAATATGCCTAATTTCAGGTACCTACCTCCTGGTAGCTTACCTATAATTTTTATTCGTTTTGAGTTTTGGAGGCTTGATGTCTGTAACAAGGCAATAAGCCAATCAGTGTCACTGATGCACGGACCGATTTGCGACTAAACTTTACGTACCCTAACCTAGGTACCTAGTAGGCAGTACTAGGTACTAGTTATCATACAAGCCGTTAATTCAATTCCTAACATCTGATCAAACACCTGGAATTTCCTAAGCCTCGTTGTCGAATATCAACTTACGCTTCGTCATCAACAAAAACCCCCCCTCCTCCCCTTTACAGTCTTACTTAGGCATCAGCACTTATAACCAATTCATAAGTTAGCGCTTTGCAGTCGCCAGTCCTACCTGAGTACTTGATCTTTGTGCGTGTGTGTATGTGTGTGTGTTTCTATATCGAATAGAACGAATAGCATTGGGGCATTTTTTATTATTTCCCCCCCTAATTCCAATCATAGGCTCCAAAGATCGCCAGCCCAAAATTCGAAAAGACTCAAGCTACGAACCTCTCGCAAAGCCCAACTGCCAATATGGCGCAAAACAATATACATAACTTGGTCACCTTAATCAAGCGGTATGGATAACTCTACTTCAGCCTTTGCACATTATACTCCTATTACTTCAAAGCCGAGCTTCGATCTTCACAGCGCAACTAGCTCTCAACCAACTCCCACAAAATCAGCACAACCTCTTATACTAACCCCACTTCACCTATAGGCTAGAAGCTGCTACTACTCGCCTGGAAGATATTGCCTCGTCAACGATAGAGCTGCCTCAGGCTGTTCCCGCTCTCACAGCCACCGTCGCGACACCTTCTGATCCTTCAAGCTCAGCGAGCCTCACCCCCCAACATGCCGGCTCCACGCCAGCTCCCCCCGCGCCTAAGCATGTACCCCAAGAACCTTTGCCGGAATCTATTGAAGAATTCGATGTTTTTATCAACCAGTCTGTCGACAAGTATGTTAAGATCAGCAATGCTTTGGGCGGCTTGATCGCCGAACAAGCTTCGATGGTACTCCAAGGTTTCAAACAGCAGCGCCGGTTCCTGTTAATATCTACAAAAGCTAAGAAACCCGATATAAATGGATCCGGCGGGGTCATCTACCAGGAGCTTCTAAAACCCATCAATGAGGCTCTCATGGCCGTCGGCAACATTAAGGAGGCCAACCGCGGATCTGAGGTCTTTTCCCAGCTGAGCGCCGTCTCCGAAGGTATCATGGTACTAGCTTGGGTTACCGTAGACAACAAACCGTTTAAGCACGTCGAGGAGTCTCTAGGGTCGGCGCAATTCTTTGGTAACCGGGTACTTAAGGAACATAAGGATAAGTATGGCCGAATAGCCCCACGAACACATAATATCTCAGCACTGACTTTAAACATAGGGACCCCGAGCAGGTTGAATGGATTCAGGCTTTCTACCAAGTTTTCCGCGATCTCACCGACTACGTGAAGCAGTATTACCCCAATGGCATCCCCTGGAACCCGAGCGGGCAACCGGCAGCCGAGGTCGCCAATACAATAGATTCTACTCCGGCCGCCGGTGCTGGTGCTCCGCCGCCTCCTCCGCCGCCAGCTGCTGGTGGTGCCCCTCCTCCTCCACCTCCCGGCCCGCCCCCCGTTCTACAAATCAAAGAGCAAGCCGCGCCTTCTAAGCCCGAAGGTATAAGTGCTGTATTTAGCGAGCTGAACAAGGGCGAAAGCGTGACTAGAGGTCTACGTAAGGTTGACAAGTCAGAAATGACACACAAGAATCCTTCGCTAAGAGCTGGATCTACGGTCTCGGATCACGACTCGTCTTCTAGGGGTAAGAGTCCCGCGCCCGGGAAAAAGCCGAAGCCCGAGAGTATGCGCCTAAAGAAGCCACCCAAGAAGGAACTTGATGGTAACAAATGGATAATTGTAAGCGAGACTCATATACGCCATGATAGTTTATCATGGGTGGGAACTTGAAACTGATAGGATCACAGGAAAACTTTGAGAAAGCCCCCATACCTATTGAGATCGAGGCCGACATGACCCATTCGATTCTGATCAGTCGATGCAACCAAACGACCATCGTGATCAAGGGAAAGGCGAACGCTATCACTGTCGAGAACACGCAGCGTCTATCTATTGTCATCGATTCGCTTGTATCCACCGTCGACGTCGTTAAATCGTCTAACTTTGCGCTACAAGTTTTGGGCAACCTACCTACCATCCTACTTGACCAGCTCGACGGCGCCCAGATCTACCTAAGCAAGGAGAGCACTTCCACTCGCATATTCTCCAGCAAGTCTGCCGGCATCAACGTCAATGTCCTCTCCGGCCCCGAGGACGATTACAAGGAGATTCCGCTCCCCGGCCAGATCTGCTCGTACTTCGACGACGAGAAGGGTGATATGGTCAACGAGATTGTCGACCACGCTGGTTAATAAGCCAAGCTATTAATACCCATCCCCGCTGTAGAAATGTCCTTGTCTCGTGTAACCGGGTGTATATACCTCCACGGTCGCCGGGTGTGTTGGATTTACAGGCATAGAATCACTTCATCTCTCTACTTAGGGTTAGAAGTATAGGCCGGTGGAAGAATGGGTGGGTGGATGAGTGGACGAGTAGGTAACTAGGTGGATAAGAATCTTGAAAACTAGGACAGGTACTTAGGCGTGCTACTATTGCTGGCACCTTAGGACTATTTCCTATGCTGGTGGTGGTGGTGTTGGCGGTGGGTGTTGTTTTGCATCGCTTAGATAGCATTCGTATATCATCCAATAACCAAAAAGAAAACACGCATTTTCAAATAAGTGGCCAAGTTCTTATATGTATACGTAGGTCGGTTGCTAAGTGTTATACATATATCAGCTACCTACCTACGTATTCACGGATATGACCACCAAACACATCACAGGCACCGTAACAAGAACCCCCTAGTTATTCGCAAGAATCATTCTAAACTTGATCCAACGAATCCATGCATATATGTAAGATCGATAGAAATTGGGAGAAATCATTCCAACTCGAAGAAGTATTCCAAATCTTGCAATGATTTCTCTCAATTTCTATTATTAGTCTCACTCAAGTAGGTAGTAAGCATGGATTCGTTCGTGCCTCAATGAACACAATTATTCTTACATAACTAGGTAACTAACCCAGAAGGTCATCTTTTGAAATCTTGGAATTCTTTTCTATGAAAATCTACCCAAGCTACCTGGTATCAGGTATGCATGCAGGTGCCTAGGTACATTAGATACCTACATGTTCCACCCCGTCAAAACACCGAGTTTTTCATGCTCTCTACGATTCTAGCAAAAAAAAATAAAAGAAGCAGTAGTCGAGGTAGATTTTTAAGAAAAGAGAATATGGCTTGCGCCGATAACGAGGAAGGTTGGTATAGATGGGTATGTACTAGGTAGGGTACGCAGGTAGATAGGTATGCATGGATAAAGATGTCATTCCCTCTCTTCCTCACGTCTTTCTCTCTTCTTTTAGCCCTTGAGGCACCACCGATATCTAGGAACACATCGTGAGGAGTTAGGGTGCGGAAGGAGGGATATTCTAGAATAAGCACGGGGCGTGAAGCATGAGAAAATTATAGCTTCGCCTTGGGCGGCTCGATGGTGGGGAGAAGGAGGTCGCGGATTTCGTTGGCCGCTTCGTTGATGTAGTAGCTCATCTTCTGGCTACCGAGGCCCTTGGATACGATGTTGAAGTTCAGGCTAGAATCGACGTATTAGTATTTTTGCTCTTTTGAAAATGCAAAACATAAGGAAGGAAGGGAGAGCTTACCTGTTCTCATTAATCATATATGCGATACCGAACCCATCATCAATAACCTGGCTCCAACCATATCCGTTGAAGTATTCGGAACTCAGCTGACTCGTAGACAGGAACCAAGAGCTGCTGTACCCGAAGGCCGGGTCCTTATAGATAGCGGGCAAGTCCTCGCCGGGCTCGAGCAGCTTCTTAAGGCCGAAGAGGTGACGGTCAACACCCTTGCCATCAGACGCGGCACCGATGTACTCGATGTGGGCGTTGATCGCCTTGCGGAACAGGTCCACGCGGTTATCGTCAGCCACTTCCGCGTCTGCCATCGCGTTGCAGAAGGCCACGCTCTCGTCGGACACCGTGCGACACGTCTCGGTGCGGCCCTGTTGGAAGCGTCTCGTTGCGGCTGACTCGTAAGTAGGTCTGTTCTTGCCAAACATCTTGTGGTATGCCAGCTGGATCACCATCTGCACATAGGCGTCTGGCGAGCACTTGAATTTCTTGATAAGGCCTTTGCCGTAGGCCTGGTAGGCCTGCACCGCAAGCTCGTGCTTGGCGATGACCTCGTTGAAGTCCTTGATAGCGCGGTCAATCTCCTTCTGTACCTCCTTGGTAACCTCGAAGTTGATTGCAACGGGCTCAGGTAGGTTAGGTCGCACGGAGGGGTCGCTGAAGTCCAACTTGTTTCCGAAGATGACATCGTTGACGTAGTCATTCAGGCGGTGCGTGGGCGTGCCGTCCATCATGCTGTGTTCGCCCAGGAAGCCGGAGGTGCCATTGTCATTCACGATGAATTGCAAAGGCTTGTCGTTCCACCGGTTCTGGCCATCACCATGCCAGTACTGATGCGCCCGTTCCTCCAGGGTCACCGGCGTAGCATCATCTAAACAGACGACGAAAGAAGCAGATTCGATGGCCTCGAGCGCTGCCTTGTTCTTGGGAGAGGCGTTTAGCAGGACCTGGCGCGCATCTGTCCAGATATCACGGTTTTCGGAGGCGAGAGCGCCTACAGCGGGCACAGGCTGCGCAATTTCATAAATGCGCTTAAACTGCGACTCGAGCTCGGACGTGTTGAGCTGCTTGCCATCAACCTCGTGGGCGACCTTGAAGAATTGGTTCTTTCGGACAACGACAATGTGTTTGTTGTCCTTGGGGTCGTACTTGATTGGGTGGTCGGCCGGTTTCGCCGGTACTCGACTAGCATTGAACATCCACTTGTAGCTATCCATGCAGATTGGCAGTCTCTTCATGTACTCTGGCTCAAGAGAGCCAGTGTCCACCTGCTTCTTAAACTCGAGCGCCGCGGTTGTTAAAGCGGCGGCGCGTTTCGCGGGGTTCCGCCGGCGACGATCATCTCGGTGTGAATAAAAGTAGCTGACATAAGGAACCACGGGGTCTCGATAGCTCAAATATGCTGCATCGTTCCACCACTCATGAATCCAGTTCTTTATTTCGGGGTTTTCCCGCCGCGCAATTAGCTTCTCTTGTAGTTTTCGACCTGCGCCTCCAGGTTTTATGAATTCGTCTACGGCCTTTTTGCTTGCGGCATACTCGCTGGAGCTTAATAGAGGATGTAAACTCTTTATGTAACGGGCGGCAGTTTCTTCGAGGGTCGGGACAGGTAATCGAGGAAGGGAATCCTGGAAACGAAGCATTGCGCCTTTAGACTTGTCTTCCACATATCCTATATAAATAGCAATAATACGCTTTTATTAGTTATCTGGACATTGTACATCGTGTTCTCTGGTATTTTTGATTGTATGCTAACCTGTGGGGAGGGAGCTGTTGCTCCGTGTCGTTGCCGGCGCCATCAATAAGTTCTATGGATTCAGAATCAGCTTTGCGCTATTATTTCGGTATTCGGAGCTCAAAGGGCAAAGGGAGCGCACCTTGGATGTTATAGCTTGCTTTAGAGGAATTCGAAGAGCGGTACTTTGTGTCCGACTCTTTGCTAACAAACTCAACATCACAATGGTTCTTGTCTCTGACAAGATTGGTTTTTACTAAAAGGGAAAAATAAATAAGCCCTGGTGGTCAGAACAACAGCCGGTCCAAGTTGTAGTAGCACTGTGAAATGAACCGCGGTATGTTGCGATATGTGGTCCTTTGTAAATAGCCCTGGAGCCCTTGAAGATGAAGTGTGGGAACTCTTGGCTCAAGTGAGTAAAGCCGTTAACCCGCAACCATTTCTTAGTATGCCCAGTGCTAAGGTTAACAAAAGGTGTCGGCAGTGTGTCCGGTACCATGCAAGCTTCAGCTGGTGCATCTGAATTAAAGGTGGGCTTTGCTTCGGCTCACAGATCACCGGTGCCGAGGTAAGCTGCGGATCTCCCTTTCCTTGCATAATATCCACTGTAACCATGAAGCGGGAATTAACATGTGGCTTAACCTAGTATGTACTAATGTACCTACTAGTAGTGCTCACCAGCCTCAATTCAATTCGTCATAACTTGAACTCACTGCATTGAACCCAGGGCCAAGGACTATCAATTAGTCCATTCTTAACCTTTTCTAATATTCCAAGACATCCATTCATAGGTAGTCTTTTCACTTACACAACACAATCTCCAAACTAGAACTACATAACTATATACTAACTATATACTAAACTTCATCTTCCATCTTACCGTCCGCTACCCCGTGGCCAAGCATCCATTACTCCTAGTCCTTTACATGCCCCGTGTCCAACTGTCAGCAGGTCATGCCTTGTGGGGGTTCCTTCATAGAAAGTTTAGAAACTCCAGACTCCATTAGTTCCATTTTCACATTTTCACGTGTCATTTGAGAACTATTGGATTGGATCCTACCGTTCATTACATCATCCGTGCTGCGCAATCTCGAAGAATTTCGAAAACTTCTAGAATCAGAAGTTGTAGCTTCATTTTTGTGGCCAATCGAACCGATCAGTGGTTACAATTAGTTCGCAATTGATCCGCTGCTAACCTCTACAGATATATGTAGAGGTTAACTAAACAATAAATGACAACATGGGTTTCAGTTTTCTTCATACTATCATAATTCAAATTCCAACTACTGGATTACAGATATTGGAATTCTAGTTTTTCCGTCATGATCAATAATCTCATTAGAAGTCTAATGGCCATGCTAAATACGATTTCTTATTAAGTTGTGCTCTGGCTAGCTACCTACCTAATAGAGATGGAATGAAGATCTAAGCTTGACAAGCGAGCTATCTCGTCAATAGATGTTAAACACAGGAGCTTTCCCAAAGAAAATTGACACTCATTAACTGCATACTGCTTCATCATCCACACGAGGCCGATATTAGCGGCTTCTCAGCTCCCCACGAGTCTCCTCATGGGGTTAAACCCAAGATACTCTTCTGTAGCAGGTAATCTTTTCAATATCAAAACCATCTCTTCAATATATAATGACGTTATAAATGCTTCTTCAAAGCTTTTGTTATTTTCCTCTCATTTCAACGCGAGACTTCCCCGCGTTGCTGTGGCGTCCATGTCTTGCCCGCGCTTCCTCAAGCCTCCGTTGCAACTCGAGGTCTTATTAGCATTCTCCTTCCAGCGGCCGCGTCTCGATAAAGGAATTCCAAAATATCGCGATTAAAGTCAATATCAACAGACTGCTTAAAATGTCGACCTGGGACCCCCGAGGCTTCAAGCCTTTACAATCATGTCAGGGTTGGTCTTCACTTTTCATTTCTTTCGCTACTAGTAGCATCGTCACTCCTTTACCAAGAGATTTTCTCTTATTCCATTCATTTTTAAATCTTCAAGTCATTCCTTCATTCTATTTACCTACCAAACCTTCGTTTGCTTTTCGTTGCCAAAATGGCGACTGGTTACTCACTTACAACGCATTATGCTGGCCAGGGGCTGCTTGATAGCTTCAGTTTTTTCACGGGGAATGACCCAAGTAACGGTTTTGTCGAGTAAGTATACGATCAAAAGAATTCTGTAACTGTTTTGAAGTCTAATTATATTGCAGTTATCAAAGTAGAGAGGATGCTTTGGCTATGAATCTAGTATCAGTTGGTAGCGATTACAATAACGTCAGACTCGGGGTCGACTCAAATAATACGTATTCCGCCAGCGATAAGGGGCGACCGAGTGTCCGACTCACTAGTCAGGACGCTTTTAACCACGGACTTTTCATCGCGGATATCTACCATATGCCCGCTTCAACTTGCGGTACTTGGCCTGCTTGTATGTCATGTTATATCCATTCCTACCTAGGTACTTATTGTACTTTAGGCTGATGCATAGCATATTGTAGTCTGGGCGTTCAACAATCAAGATAACGGCAGTGACTGGCCTGTGGGAGGTGAACTGGAAATCATCGAGGGTGCGAATACAGCCCAACGGAACTTGTTCTCAGCCCACACGTGAGTCTATATGAAGAGGAATCTACTCGAACTCTAGCTAAGTAATGCAGTACCGAAGGATGCCAGGCAACAAGTAATGGTTTCTCGGGAGAGCAAGGCTTGACTGATTGCTCACCTGGTGTAAGTTGGTAATATTCCAATACAAGGACGAGGCTAATACAAGTCACAGCCTGAAAACCTTGGGTGCAATTACGCATCTCCTACTTCTGATACTACATCTTATGGAAGCGGTTTTAATGCAGAAGAAGGTGGGGTGTACGCGATGCAGTGGGATTCCGAAGACCTGAAACTATGGCATTTCCCACGTTCAACCATCCCGGATAACATCGTGTATGCTCATGTTGTCGGCCCAGATCCGACAACATGGGGACCACCCCAAGCTATTTTTGGCGGCTCTTCTTGCAACCCTGATACTTATTTCTTCAACCTCAGTCTGGTCCTCAATATTGTAAGTTGAAAGGGCTTCAATAGGAACCTACATATGGAGAGCTCTGGCTAATACACTCTCGCAGAACTTCTGTGGAGACTACGCCGGCAATATTTGGGGGAAGGCAGACCAATGCAACCGACTCGCACCCACGTGTGAGCAATTTGTTGCCAACAACCCTGACAGCTTCCAAGAGTCGTGAGTAGTCCAAAATCTTTTGTAACGCCATTCCATTTTATGATGCTAAATGTTGTTCAAGATACTGGGATATAAACTTCATCGACGTTTACCAGATTGCGCCATTGACCAATGAGACTATTCCACCCCTTTTCGCCAATGGAACATTATTCAACGGTTCATCAGTGGCAACTTCAACTACAACTACAGATTCCACTACAACTCCCAGCGCCATCGCTCCAACTCATACTCGCACTATCACACTGTCCTCAGTTGTGCCAACCCAAACTAACGCCGCATTGGGGACCCGAGACACTCCCAGTAGTTACACGTTGCTAGGTTGTTACGGATCCAGTGCTGGTTATTCGTCGTTTTCGAAGGCGAGATCGTCTCTTAACATGGACCCTGAAACCTGTTTGGATAGTTGCGTCGGTCATCGATTTGCTGGTGTATATGACAAGTGAGTTTTGTGTTCCTTGAAACGGAGTAGACAACAGCTGATTATCATATAGCATGTGCTATTGCGCCGATAACCTCGGCGATGCCAAGTCTGTCGGCTCCGACATGTGTACTACACCTTGCCCAGGTGACGACGACAGATTCTGTGGTGGAGTCGCTGACCCCAATGAGATGCCTACTCCCTTTCACTCGGCTCTTAATTCCACCTTGCCGGCTAACGTTACCTTAACTGCTCTTCATAATCGTCGCGACGACCCCTCTGTCAAATTACTTACTGTATATGGAGATATGACTAACGAGCCCGCGCCGTTCGGTGCCCCAGCAATGGGCGGCCCCTCCATTCCTGAACCTCCCACCAAAAGTCACACCGTGACAACTGCCATTACCGTGACTTACAAGACTATCTGCCCAACCAACCCGGCTTCTCTAGTCGAGACCAAGTACGCCACGACCGTCACATACGAGGATTGCGACTGCACCAAACACCAACCTGCTCACCCCACCATAGCACACCATCCAGCCAACTCCACGGGTACACCCACCACGACTTTCCCTGTTTGGACTGCCGTCCCCATGACCACGTACCCCGAAACATGCCACGCCTGTGGCCCGCACGGCGAGAGCACCGTGACACTAACCGTCCCCGTCGCCGTAGTCACCCAACCCGCCGTCGTCACCGCCATCGCCGTGCACACGGTTATCCCCGTCATCAGCAACGCCACTACAGCGAACCAGACCACCTTTACACCATCAACTCCCAGGCCTAGCAGCAATAGTAACAGCTTCCCATCTCCTATCGCTGGTTCCGCTGGCAGCAAGACGGCTACGGTTGCTGAGACGATCGGCTGGGGTCTGGCGGTTTGGTTTCTGTTGTTTGGCGCTATGCTTGCTATTTAGGTTCCATCTCGTTCATTTCTTCCCATCTGGGTACCTTGGCCCACTTTGTCTCTCCGTCCATTTCCAATATTTTATTTTTGGGTCTTTTATCGATGTCATTTCTTCTTTGTTCATATCATTTATTTCCACTTGGAGTCCACAGAGTGGGTGGTAGGCGTTTTCGGCCACGGCTTTTTGTATGGATAGGCAACTATTAGGTTACCCTGGGGGGTTTCGGTGTCAAGGAGTTGATCGCTTGTGGGACACGATCTGGATGATACCCATATGGTGGGCTACACACAACGAATGAGGCAATCTGATCTACTAGCTTTGAGTACAATGGAGAACTTCTAGTCCTTTTCATCGTCTGAATCTTGAAGCCTTGTTGTGTTTTAAGTCACATTTCCTAGGTTTTATACGCCGATCACTCAACATAGGCTTTCCTGGTATATAACTGCCTAGGTTAGGGCAATGTTCATACATTTTCCAAGCCATATAAACCAGTACCTCTACTTTTTATTACACACGCCCTCCATCCCTACCTCCCCCCTCAAATCTCAACCGTTATCGGCCTCTTCTTCGTCAGCTTCCCCGACGTCCCATGCTGCATCGCCGCATTGACCATGAGACTGCCGTTCGCCGCACCCCCCAGCATGAACCAATGCCACAGCACACTCACGACGCCGTGATACAGGACGCGACACGCGTCGAGCCAGCCGCGGTGCGGCAGCATGTCGTAGAAGAGCCCGCGCCTCGGGCGCGACATGACGCGCTCGTAGACGCGCTGGGTCTCGTCCCAGAAGATGGGCTGCGTGCCGCGGCCCCAGTGCACGTGGCCGAAGCAGTGCAGCTTCGGCTTCTTCCGCCACAGCTCCTGCAGGAGGTGGGGGCAGCCGAGGGAGAGGTCGAGGTGGTGTTTCTGGTGATTGGGTTGTTTAGTCGGAAGAGAAAGAAAGCATACTGGTTTTCGGGTTTTCGGCAAGGGGGCATGTCAGGGGGGGTCTTACCGGTGGAGTATGCGTCACCAAAATCTCCGTATCCCAGGGAATGGTGCCATCCCATGGGTTCTGCTGAGACGTATATTGGAACCTACATACACATGTTACGGGTCAAATACAGGCATCCTACGGGAATAGCTAGGGGATGGGGGGACGCTTTTTCTCGTCGTCGACGTACGCGTGCTCAGGGCCTCCACACTCGGGGATATCGGGGGCGCCGTATAAGTTCAGCTTCCTGCCGCCCTTAAAGGCCAGCGTAATGGACTTGCGCTCAAGGTAGTGAATCAACTTGACGTCAACGGTCTTGTGGAGCAGAGTATCCTCCTCCATGCGGGCGTTGATGTCGAACCAGCTGTCGTGGTTGCCGCACACGACGACCTTGTGCTGGTGCGGCAGCGAGGCGAGCCAGTCGACCTGCTTCTGGATGGAGGCGGCGGTGCCGTCGTTGGCCATGTCGCCGCAGTGGATCAACAGATCGCCGTCCGGGACATCGTCCACGATGGACTCGTGCGTGTCCGACAGAAACACGATCTTGATGGGCGGCTTGTTCCGCGGCGGCCTCACCGGGTTGCCGCGCAGCCAGAGGATGAGCAGGTACAGGTGGTGTACGATTGCTTGCAGAGGGGAGTCCAGAAGCCAATCGAGCACTGTTGGACGCTCCCATTGCATGGGCCGGCGCAGGCCGAGCTTGACGAGCAAGCCCATGGCTTTTTTTTTTCTTTTTTTGGTTACTTGATACTTGTTTTGGCCTGCTGCCCTATGACGTAAGTACGGTGAGATTGATTTAGATGGTAGGTAAGAAACTTGTTAAAAAGCGTACTTAGATATCTTGGTCTCGGGATCCTTAATTAAGTCTGTCAAGGTTTGTGAGTATGATATGTTGTTTTTGTCTTCTTTTGAGCTTACTTTAATTTAAATGGGATATGATTGGTATTAGTTGAATGAGAAAAGTTGAATGAGAAATAAAAATAATAATTATTTTATCCTCAAAACATGTTTATCGTGAAGTTGGGTTGAGGGACGGGCTCACTGCCGCAAATACGACGACAACAGGGCACCCCCGGCAGCACCTAACAAGCTTTGTAGCTGTAAACCTACAGGGGAGCTCCAACGCAATTCTAGAAGGACCAGACACTGCAGACAGTCCAGTCAGTCCAGTGAGGCCCAGGGCGGTGGAACCCATTTTCGCTTCTATCGGCACAGCCAAGATCCCTGCTGTCTAGCACTTTATTATGCACGGGCCAATTTTATAACTGGATGTCATTGAACCAGCAATTCCATGGGTACCTACTTAGGTCATGGGTACTTAGGTACCTATCTACATATGTAAATCCAGCTGAGCTAGCCACCTAACATGACGTTCATCACTCTTCAACTTATTCCAACTTTTCCTGTTACTTCGACCTCTGCAAACCAAAGCTTGTCACACTTCTTTATCTTCCTGAATAATGTTAGATACATTAACCTAGACTTCTCTTCACCTAAAACTTCATAAACGTTCCCTTATAAACCTCTCGTTTGTTGCTTGCCCCTCTCCCTTCTGGTCCACCTACGTAGGTAGGTAGGCACCTAACAATATTAACAATATATTCTCCTTTTACCGGACTGTGATTCCATTCATCAGGAATCCACGTCTCTTAAAACTATTATATAGTACTACCATATCCCATATTCACGTTTGATACTTCAGCTCAAGGTCACTATTACACAAGGTTGTTATCATAGCAACCTAAGCAAAAATGTCGGGCATCGGGTCCCTCGATGTCTTCAATGCCGACCACCCGGAGCTGAAGACCAACATGGGTGTAGATTATGTGGTTCACTATAAAATCTCCAAGGATAAAGCTGAGGCCGAAGCTGGTTTTACCCAGCTCATTGAGGCACTTACCACAGTCGGCATTGCTTGTGAGGTTCGAAATGGTGATGAAACCTCTCTACTAGTCTTCCTCAAGGTGGCCTCGGAGAAGCACCTCAATGCTCATATTTATCGCGAGCGTGTCCAGGACTGGCTTTACGGTGTACGAATCACCGCACCTGACAAGGACGTGGAGAATGAATTCGCCAATCAGGCTATCACGGAGGCTGAGAGGCTCCGTACTGTGTATTTGCTGATCACGAAGCCCAAGAACGAAGGGGGTGCTGGCATCGTCCCAAAGATTGGTCAGTGGAAGGATGTCGCCTCCATCTTCCCACTACACAACCACTCTTTCAACCGAAAGTGGATAACGCAATGGAGCACCAAGTACATTCTCAGCGAGCACGATCTCGACGAGATTCGTGACAAGTTTGGCGAAAGCGTTGCCTTTTATTTTGCATTCATGCAATCATATTTCGCCTTCTTGATTTTCCCCGCAGCCTTTGGATTTGGTGCTTGGCTCATACTTGGCCGCTACTCATGGTTCTACGCTTTTGTTAACTCTCTTTGGTCAATCGTATTCTTCGAGTGGTGGAAAAAGAAGGAGGTCGATCTCGCCGTGCAATGGGGTGTTCGTGGTGTATCACGCATACAACGTCCCCGAACACAATTCAAGTGGGACCATGAGGCAGCGGACCCAGTAACTGGCGAAGCAGTCAAGGTCTACTCGCCAGTGGAGAGGCTGAAGACTCAACTGCTACAAATTCCATTCGCACTTGGCTGTTTGGCAATCCTTGGGGCCCTCTATGTGTTTTGTTTCTCGATCGAGATCTTTCTCGGGGAGATTTACAATGGACCGTTCAAGTCATACCTGGTTGGTGAACCTCTTTAATATTTGATATTGGATTACTTCGATGATAGATGTTGCTGACTAATTTTCAGACATTCACGCCAACGATTATCTTAACCGGAGCATTACCAGCTCTATCAACTGTACTCAGTAGTTTCGCAGAAAAGCTTACTGAGAGGGAAAATTACGAGACAGTTGACAGTAAGCTTATATGTAACATTGATATATATTTCAGTCGCGATTTGTTGCTAACATATATCCAGCCCATCATGCCGCACTTGTGCAGAAATTATTCATCATTAACTTCATCACCTCCTATACCCCCCTCTTCCTAAGCGCATTCGTCTATATGCCCTTTGGTAATCTGCTAGTACCGTACCTTGATATCTTCAAGAACACAGCAGAGAGATTCGCGAGCGAGAAGACGATTACTACCCAGAGTTTCCAAATCAATCCCGATCGCCTGAAGAAGCAGATGATTTACTTCACAGTAACGGCTCAGATTGTGAACTTTGCGCTCGAAGGTGTCGCTCCCTATTTGAAACGCCGGGCTTTCAAGGAAGTTGAGAAAGTCCAGTCCAAAGGCAAAGCCACAGCAAACAACGATGTCCCCGAGGAGCATGCCTTCCTTGAAAAGGTCCGAAATGAAGCCGAGCTGGATATTTATGATGTTACTGTAGACTACAGAGAGATGATTATTCAGTTTGGCTACTTGTCTCTATTCTCGGCAATCTGGCCCCTTACGCCACTTTCCTTCTTGATCAACAACTGGGTCGAACTCCGATCCGACGCCATGAAGATCGCAGTCAACAGCCAGAGACCCATTCCCTGGAGAGCTGATTCTATCGGTCCTTGGCTTAATGCTCTAGGATTCTTGTCCTGGTTTGGAAGCCTCGTAAGCTCTGCAATTGTATATCTCTTCAGCGGCGACGCTGAGGGACCTGGTGGCGACCCTTCGAATATCGTTGCTTGGGGGTTGCTATTGAGTATTTTGCTCTCCGAGCATATTTACCTAGCCGCCCAGTTTATCGTTCGATATGTGTTAAAGCATATTGACAGTCCAGGTTTGCAGAAGGAGAGAGCTGAGCGTTTTTCCATGAGAAAACAGTGGCTAGAGGAAAGCTTGGGAGCCGACGTTACAGAATCACCCATCCCACCCACCCCTCAAGCTGGGGAGGTTATTACTCGCGATGCCCTAGAGGAAGAAGCCCGTCAGTTATCTTCGAGCGGTGGGGGGACGCCTGAACAATTGTAAGAGACCTGACCCAAACAGCTTCCATGCTTCGTTAACATATTTCTACAGGTTCTGGTTGAGACAGCAGGGCATGGACGAGACCATTCAAATCGGTCGCATGTTGATTTCCAAGAAGAAGGTAGAGAAGAACTAGGTGTCCGAGACGTTACTTGCTGCGGGAAATATTCTAGAAGAAACTGTGGTGATTATGACGTTGGCGATAGTAATAGGGTTAATAGTCGAGTAAGATTTTTCTAAGATTCTATTCGACTGTTCCCTTGGGGAGTAACTGATATCCAATAGTCTACATTCGAAATTAATATTACTGTTTACCAAAGATAATCGGAGTACTGCATCTACTGACATGCGCCATATTAGTGATATTAAGGCTCCCAAACAGTTACTCTGACTAGGTATATTATCTATCAACAGACAACAGGCAGCTTCCTAACCTAGGCATCTTACCCCTTATGCTCACTCCTTAGGTATCAATAAGCCACTAGATTAGCGCGTAGCAGTGTAAAGGAATATGCACATTGATTTTTCCGTCTCTCATATGCTATCCTAGGTAGATACCAACACTAGTCATTCCCCCTTTTCCAAACCCTAATCCTAAAGTCCTTAATCAACAAATTCAATGCTATATCCATGCCAACAAGAAGAAATATGACTAGCTAAATTGAAAGCACAATAAGACAAACAAGTATGCCCCCTCCCCCCTTTTCATTTTTCCTTCCTCATCTCCCCATCACCCCCTAAACTCTTCCCCCCTTTCCTCTCCAACTGCAACTCAATCAACCCCTAACACCGCCGCCACACATAACTCCAGCTCTCGGAAGCAGTGGTATCGGGGTCCTTGCCAAAGTAAGCGTACTTGGCGCCGTCGGCCTGCAGCGCGACGCGGAAGTTGACGTTCAGCAGCCCCACGCCACCGTCGCCGCCGGACGTCGTGCAGGGGGAGAAAGCGACGGCGTTGTCGGCCACGGTGCTGTGGGCCGTGATGTCTTGGTCCAGGCGCGTCGGGTTGGGGTTTTCGAGGGTGCCGCGGATGGTGGACTGTTTTTTTTTTTGGTGGGATCAGTACGCGTTTTTTTTAGAAGTAGAAAGGGAGAAGGGAGAAGGGGGGAGAGAAAAGAAGGAAGGAAGAGCATACCGTGACCCCGGCATCCTCGCTCCAAAAACTGGTGACGTAGTAGTCCACCGCGGCCCCCGGGTCCAGCACCAGGTGGCCCCGCACATACACGTCCCGGACGCCGACCTGCCACCCGGGCGCCGCGGCGCCCGCGATCGACAGGTGCGCCTGGCAGTTCGCGGACGCGGTCTCCGGCGCGCCCGGCGCCCGCGCCTCGAACGCGTTCAGGCGCAGAGAGGTGTCCTCGAACCCGCCTGTGCGGTCGACGGAGGGGCTGGAGGAGGGGCAGCCGCTGCCGGAATAGGAGACGGAGATTATGCGGGGGGGTGGGGAGGGGGGAGCGTCGAGGGTTGTGAGGGTTTTGAGGGGGGAGGCGGTGGTGAGGAGGGGGAGGAGGGGGAGGAGGAGGAGGGGTGTTGGGCGCATTTTGGAGGGTTGGGGTTGGGGTTGTTGCTTTTCGATGTATATAGAGGTGCTTGTGTCTGTGGTGGTAGTAAGAGCGAGCCTTAATTGCTACGAAGGTGTCCAACGATGATGCTTATTATTGTGGGTATAAAAATAACAAGAACGAAGAGGAAGAGGAAGAAGATGTAGGTAAGTATGCAGAGTGTGGCGATATTTAAATAGATCGATACCTATTATCTACATCATCCAACCTTTCCTCGCCCCTCGAGGCCGAATGACCAAGGTTTTTATACAATGACCTCCTGCTCCTCGTTCGATCCATATGGGATTTTTTGACTTCCAGGCCCTATCCGTGTCTAACTACCTTGAACCAAGAATCCCGAAACATACCTAGGTAGGTATCCTGCATCGAGCGAGAGAAGAAAGCTTCTGGCCCACGGTCCATGGACGTGGGAGGTCGGGTCCGGCCTCCCCTTTTCTTGATATGCTCATCGGCAAAACCAGTTAGCGAGACTGTCGGCCAACCAACCAACCAGCTATCCTGCTGTCGTCGTCGTCATCGCGTAGGGGACCACCGACTACATCTGAAGATTGCATGGGCATGGGCAGTGCCTAGGTATCTACTTATCATAGGTACAATACATAACGTACGCCACGCCACTACTACAATGATATATAGTAGCATAAGTAGGTAAGTACAGTACCCAAGGCAAATGGCGAGTCTTGCCTATCCCATTTCGTTTATTCGTTCTAACGGGCTAGGTTGCTTTTCTTTTTCTTTTTTTGGGTGAACTTGATTTTACCCATATTAACCACCAAGCTCCCCCTATGTACCTGACCCCGACCCCTTGCCCTCTTCCTTTGGCTTTTGCGAGCCCGGGAAAATGGTTCCTCTAATATGCCCCAAAGCAAAAGCTCCCCCGGAGAGACCCTTAATGTAGGTAGATAGGTAGGTAGGTACCGGAAAGTGAAAAAAAAAAAAATTTTTTTGTCTCCCCATCAAAACCCGCCACGATACCAGCATCCCGGGTAATAAGAAACCTTTGGAAAAGGGCTCCGGGCGATAGGTGCAGGTCTAGACTGGCTCGCTGAGTCCAGATGTCCAGGGGTTTCTTTTCTTTTAATATGTGCCTTAACTACTCGAGACTTGGTTTTAATATAGGAAATCTTTTCATTTCTATTTACAGCTCCAGGTCCCAATACCAGTGTCCTGTCCCTGTCCGACTCTCCGCCTAATATACATACAGCTTTCCAACTTTCAAATCTGACGACGACTTTTTATCTCCCCAGACCCTAGTTAGTTATTTGGCATTAGTTATGTGACAAGGCAAAAAAAAAAAAAAAAAAAAAAGAAAAAAAAACCCTGGAAACATCTGATTGTCTTCACTCTAGGTCTAGACTCCGTATCTTTTCCCGGGTCCTTGCTATATTTAGACTGCTCCCTCCGCAACCTCCCTAGGCCCTAGGTACTACTATGTAGTAATAAATATCTCTTGAACATGAGGGGGAAAAAAAAGAAATGCGGGCCAGACCTTTGGGAATCAGTCCATCGTCGTAGGCGTGTACCGTACCATGAATACCTAGGTAGATACCTCTGGTACTAGGTTGTCTTGTAAGCCCCTTGTAGTGCCCAAAGAACAAGAGACGAAACCACGGATCACCTTCTTTGGAGGCACCTATAGTAATCAGTCTAGGCGACGGCCGTGCATTGAGTGTAGGTAGGTGAGTAGAATATACTATCCTGGCCCAGACGACACCGTCTAGATGTCATGTCGTCGAGATCAGATTACCATCCACCTAGGCACCCAAGGGAATTGGAAAACTCTAGGATTAGGTAGGTATATATGCCATACATACATATGGTTTGGTGCAGGTAGGTACCCATTGCTCGCTTCTCGCGTGGAGCCGTTTCTTCATATGTACCTAAGGTACTTAGATATATATAGGTAGGTGTATGTAGATGTGACCCCCAGAACGCCAGTGCCTGACCCAATGCTACATGCATCAATCTGCACGATGATAAACCCAGACAGACCCTTTTAATCTAAGAACCTCTGATAGCGACCCATTAAAAAATAAAATAAAATATATTAAATCATGATCCTTCTCAAGCCCTCCGTGCCGCCGAGCACACGACGCCCCGTGACAGCACACCTGCCAGCGCCGCTCTCCCACTTGCCGGCCTGCGTGGCCATGAACTCCTCCTGCCGCGGGTGGTTGCCCTCGAGCCACTTGTGGATGCAGGTGTAGCAGTAGACGACGCCCGTCTGGCACGCTGTCGGCGTCTGTATCTCGTCGTCGCAGATCGGGCACAGCTCCGAGTTCTCCGACGCCGGCACCGTGAAGATGGGCAGCATCGTCGGCGTAGCGATCGGCGCGTCGTCCGCTACGGGGACTTTGTTCTGCTCCTCCTCTCCTTCTCCCTTTTTGTTGTTATCGTCTTTATTCTTCTCGCCTTGGTCTTGTGCTTCTGCCCCCTTCTTCGGCGCTACTTTGATGCCCAAGGTAGATAACCCAGACACTACCGGTGGCGGCAGTTCGAGGTTTTCGGCCGCCTTCCTCGACAGCTGCTTCGCGAAGTCGGACGCATACCACCACTCGAGGAACTTGAGCGCGAAGATACTCGTCGGCAATAGAACCGACAAGCTGCCCAGCAGCTTGGGACCCATAGTCCACGGGTTGAACAGGCCGGCGAATGTCAGGGGCGGGCTCCCGGGCTTCGCCTTGCGGAGGGCCTCGAGGGCGTGGAAGTCGGTCTTGGTCATCCTGCGTATGCGGGTGCCGATGAGCCACATGAAGGGGTTGTGGTACTTGGTGTTGTCGAAGAGGTAGGCGAGGTTGAAGGCGATGATGCTAAAGTAGTAGGCGGCGTGCACGCTGGGGTATACGTTGCGGATGAACCACTTGAAGTAGTGCACGAACCGCTGCTTGAGGGTCGGGTTGGCGGGCATACGCGTGTAATTGGCGCCGAGCAGGGCGCGTGGGGCCTCGATCTCGTGGGCCTCGTCCAGCTTCCGCTTCAGGTACGGCAGCCCGACCATCACGGCCAGGTTCTTCCAGATGTCCGTCGGCGTGAGCTTGAGGGTCTCCCGGACGAGTTCGGGAGTGAGGGTGGCAGCGCGTGGGATCTCGGCTTGCAATGCCTTTTCTCGCTTTAGGCCGTAGAAGTGCTCCGTGAAGCTGCCACCTCGGGTTCGCAGGTAATGGCGCTCGATGACGAGCATGGAAAGGGCGTAGAGTTCATCGAAGGAGTTCAGGGCACGTAGCAGATAACGGGGATAACGGTGCGTGGCAACGGTGAGAAGGTATCGTATTGTTGGAGGTAGAAGCGAGTTTAGCTGTTGTTCGGAGAGAAGCTCGAATAGTGAGGGCTTCTGATCGTCGAATGTGCCCCGAAGGGCAGTGACGAATTCCATCGTGGCTTAATTGTGCCGGAATTCGAATTCGAATTCGAATTATATATTATATTAAGATACGTAGAGGTGGTGTAGAGTGTAGTTAGTGGAATGTCAAGAAGGGAATATCAACATGATTGTTGTAGCCTTGTTAACATTCGAGTTGAATTAGTATTTTGGGAATTGTGGCACCGAAGAATATAGAGGATCAAATGATAATAACCCAAGTATAAGTTGAAAGTTGTACTGTCTATCTACCAAACAAAATAATGGAGGAAATGGAGGAATAGAAATGGAGGATCCAAAACATCCAACAGCCTGCCGAGGTTTGACGTAAACCGGGGTATACCGAAGCTCGGGCCAAGAATGAACTCAATTAAACAAAGTAGCTTGATAGATGGATATTATCAATTGACAAGACCATATATGTAACTATACCTAATACTATCATTGATAAATGCAAATCAACTTCAATTGAATGAATCACAGCTACATAACTTCAAAAAGCAAACTACACTCCACTACCTACATGGAACCTACCACATGTATTGAACCTACAATGTAAAAAAACACAATATTTGACAACACATAAAGGGAGTTTAAGGGACCTCCCAAACCATACATACATAACTTTGGAATACATACTTCGTAGGCAGGTATCATTCCTCGCCAAAACTCCCACGTTAAGTAAATCATTCTGGATGTGGAAACATGAAGAGAGAACGGAAACAAAAACAAAAACAAAAACAATGCATGGCAAACAAAGGTAACCACAAGACATGGAATAAGGCATCGGGAGATCACCTTATTCGTTCGACCACATCACCCACGATATCCCCGTGATCTCAATCTCGTGGTCTTCGTCATCCTCATCTTCCTCGTTCACATCGTATTCTTCCTCATATTCCTCCTCTGCGTCCTCGAAATTTCCTGCATCGTACTCGTCGTGCGTCTCGTCGAGTTGATCTTGAATCAGAGGCAGGAAATCCTGCATCAGAGCTTTATAACCACCCGATTCCGCAGCTCGATCTGACACTTTCCAAAACCCCGACGGGCCAGCCGGGCCTTCCGGACTGTAGTCCCTGTTCGCTTTGTTTAGTTCCCATTTAAATAGGTACAATTCATGCTAGACAATGCCTAGACTCCACTTACGTATCGAACCAATTCCCCATAACACCTTTCGCGCTCCGAACGCCGCCAACCTGTATACCCTCGCTACGCCAACGCTCGACGCCGCCAATTATTGAGAACGTCGTCCATCGCACCTCTCCCTCCTTCGTCAGACGTACCGAGCCTACGTGCCGCCCCCGTGGCCCTTGTTAGCACGTCCAGGCATTCTCCAAGCAAAACTAAAGACGTACCTTTCATACCTCTCAAGTCCGAGTTAGCGTTCTCGTCGAAAGTATCGTCTAGCGTTCTCGAGATTCCTTTGAAGTGGACAATTGGCAGTTCCTGTCCATCCTCGGGCCCTGGCGGCTCAATCTTTGTCACACGCATCTTCATGAGCATTAACCGCGTAGCCTCACCGATGTCGATTGGGTCTCGCGGTGCGTTGGGCGGTAGTCGATTGCCCGCGGTAAAGTTGTATGCATAGAAGTCAGTGTAGTCGATGAAGCAGACAACTCGTAGCCACGTGCCCGTAACACCGTAGGGGTCCTGTAGCTCTACCGGGTCGGGTTCGCGTGCCAATGGCAATGGCTTGTAGCTCTGTGACCAGGTGCCAGCGAACGGGGTCTCCCAGAAGTTGCGACACACGGGGAGCCTATTTAGATTCATCTTGCGGATATTGGATGCCAACACTATCATAACAGCTTCGACCATCTCCCAGTCTACGCGGCCCGTATCATCGTTCCTGAAAGGGCCCCATTTGGTTTTGTCGGTGTACTGCCGTAGGTCGTAGACTTTGGAGCATGCAAACGGCCTTGCTTTGCCGCACCTGTTGGAGCGGGGGTAGTCCGGGATGTGCAATATTGGTACTCCGTAGAGACAGTGTAGGTGAGCGCTCATCTGGTATATTGGCTGCCGGTGCCGGTAGTAATAATCGGGCAGAGAATCGTTTACCTCTGCATACACACGCTCGTAGGTGAAAGACCGGCACAAGAACGCAGCTTTCGTGGTCGGTTTGCTAAAGATGTCGGATAGTATTTCGGCATTCCGGGACGACGGGTAAGTCATCGACCGGACACGCTCCGTGTCGGTTGCAGCATTCTGGAGGAGAAACCGGACGGTTTCATACACGAAGCTCAGCTCGCTCTTCTGCACAAGACAGTGTTAGGGATTATGCTATTCTCATAATACAAATTAGGTACCTATCTAAGCAGATAGGAGAGATGGGCAAGCTATGGAAGATAAGGAAGATAGGGGTTTAAGTGTAAGTAAAGAGAGCTTCATAGTAGATGATCACACCTTTTCCTCCACAGTTTCCCGGCGACATATAGCCTCTAGGCGAACAGTATCTTTGATGGCCTTCTCCCAATCAATAACAGATTTGCTTGGAGGCTTGTCGAGATTGTTGAGATAGACTATTCTAAAAAGGGAGGAATTCCCCTTAATGGTATGGTAGAAGCTCCTGCAAATGCGGGGAATCCAAGCTAAGTCGGGCGGGTCGACATAGCCCAGAACATGCTGCACGATCTCTGGTGGAAGCTCTGTCAAGAGGACCATTGTATCTTGATGGACGGAAGAGATGGAGAGAGTATCAAGAAGAGATGGATGAGTGATATCCTCTCGTCTTTGCGTTTGGGGTTAGTTATGGGTTAGTTATGGTCGCAGCAGCCGATGAGGTGCAAGATGAGGTCACAGGTGGAGGAGGAAGCCCTGGGCCAAAGTGTGGACTTGTCAGTTTATCAACGAAGCTAAGAGGAGGATTGGTCCACTCCTGCCGTCGGCTTTAAGTTTAACGATTTTCGGACTTTCCAAAACTCTCCAGGGCTCCCAGCTTTGCAAGGCTCCAGTAATTACGATGGTATCCACTAGGTTAGTCAGCTACAGGCATATCTAATAGGATATATCCATGTATGTATTTATACCCCAGCTGCCTACATATAGTTTTAGACGAACCTATATTTAAATGCATACTATGTACATAATAGTGATAGTGATACTATGTATTATGATATATCAGTAGTCAGTACGCCTAAGTACAAACCTACACTCCATCATTGAAACATCTAACCTAGAAACATCCATGCCGCAGGTTCCGGTAAACATAAATGTACACATCTCAAATCATGTTTGATGCCTATCTACATGGACATAGGTGCTATGTACGCCGTACATATCTACTAGGCACATCCATGTATCTCCATTCTACGGCTTGCCTAGAGCTAGCCCCCAAACCCCAGCTTTCAGAACGGAAAGTTCCGGTGCTATTCTAGGGTGATCCATGGATGTGCATGCTGTAGCTTCAGTCTTCGCTCTTAGCAGAATTGGAAGTATGTACATAGGTTACATATATTCAACGATCAATCTTCTTCCATACCGGCCGAGCATCATCCGGCCAGTCCGATTCATAACTATTCACAATGCATCCATTCCTTTCCATGTGTGTAGGCATCCACCTACCTAGGCACCTAGGCAAGGACCATGAATCAGCACCAAAGAAGCATTGCTAACTTTTAGTAAATACAAACTTAGTATATAGTTGAATAGGACTACTAGTAGGTGTGTACCTACCATAGCAGGTATATACGTGTCGAGCAACAAGAGAACGCTTTACAAATACATACTATATAGGTATGTAGCCAGTTGTAATGATATGGCGACGTTGTGTCGTGATGGGTATATAGCGAGATGCCGTTTTAGTTACAATAGTAAAAAGCTGGATGATCCAAGTCTCCCAATGGCGGTAATGACTCTGGTAAATGAACAATATGATCCTCGCAAAGGAAAATTTTCGATGCCGCTGGTCCATAATCCAATCCCTTCCCTCATATATCAGTTAATCGTCTTCCAAAGTTGTCGTTCATCGTGCTTCCGTATGTCCTATAACTCCTTCCCTCCCCCCCTTTTTCTTTTCTTTTTCTTTTTTTCCCTTTTTTCGACTCATCGTAAGATGCCAACACTTTTGCTGAACACTAAACTGCTACAAGCTTGCACCGCTATTGAGTTGAATACAGTTGCTCAACAATGTCGCTCCTTCGTGGAGCAATTCCCACCGCGTCGACTCGAATGAATCTTTGAGTACTATAAGCAAGGCGCTATTGTTATTGACACCTTTCATGCCCTTCAAGTCTTCCGGTGATGATACAGAGCCAACCCGTTGCAAGTAGTCACGCATTTGGTTCATCTTCTCCTGTGTAGTGGTGGGAATTGGGATCTTGGCGCAAGGTCCCTCGAGGGCGTACCCATAGCACCACACAACTAATGCTGCGAAGTAAAGCACCCAAGGTCGATTCAGTAAGACGTCGTCCCTAGCTAGATACATAACGATTCCTGACTGGCGGTTGTAGCCATCCGGATGGGAACTCGCATTTTCCGGGAGCATTACCGAGCACAAGAACTTGGCGGCGTAGAAGGTAGCGTCACGAGCTTTTGCAGAAGGGGCCCAAAGGTCCTTCATCCTCCGCTGGGCGCTATTCAAATCTTGTGTGCCGATCGCCCTACCGAGTAGCCGTTTTGCACGGGCAAATATTTGGCAATCGACAATATCCACGTGCATTGCCATGTGTGCTAGATGATGTAGCACGGTCCGGCTTTCGAAAACCACATTCGCCTCGTTCCGCTTATCATAGCTATATGGGTCAGCCATTGTATCATTGCATTGTAACGACTTATCGAAGTCCGTCTTCCACGAGTCGAATGCTTTCGTAAGTGTCGATCTCCATTTGTCGCGACCACCAAGAGCTTGCTGCACGCCGCCACCAAGTGAGCTGACTTGGAGATCACGTTGGTTCATATGCCAACTCACACTTAGCAAACCTGCCATAAGAATCTGCCGACCAAAAGGGTTCGTCTGTACTTCTTGCCCGGCAAGAGTTCGCTTGAGCCCTTCTAGAAACGAGATAGGCTTGATTCCGTTGGACATGAGATTAGCCTCGATCCTACCAACTTCAGCGCCACTCGTTGCCTTCCATAATTGGTCGTCACAAGGAAGCGGTAGGCGCATTTCGTGCGCGACCATCACAGTTGAATGCCCGAACATCGTTGCGTGAATCGAATCGATGAGAAATGCGGCAAACGCAGCCCGCCGGGTAGTTTCGTTCGTGATCCAGTGGTTCCACCACTCATCTGGCGTGTGTGCAAGACCCGACGTGGAAGAATGTCTAGAACCATTCGTCCCTAATTTCTCATCTCGAGGATTCGGTGGTGAATCGAGTGCTGACTTTCCAATTAACGATCTTCCTCTTCGCATCAGCGTAATCGTTGTTGCGTGATGTATGTGGGCTCGTTCATGAAGTTCCCTTGTCGAATACATCTTCTCGTATAGCTCTAACAGTAGCAGAGTCTGGAAGGCCCATATTTTCGCCGGGGGGCGGCAATTTACGTCCATAAATATCTCCCACCTAAGATGCCACGCAAGAAAGTTAGAGAGCTGAGATCCAGCTCTTATGACTTTTGGTCCATGTGTCCTATCCAGGCAAGCCGCACCTATGGCCATCACAGCTATCAATAATAAATTCGGAGTTTTATCTGGCGAAAAAGTCGGCTTGTGTAGGATAGGAATTTGATCACTGAAGTGAAGCCAAAAAGAGCCTATATACTGCTGCATCATCTTTCGACTTAGCATGTGGTTCTCGTCGCTTCTGTCCCCATCCAAAATACTCTCCCGTTGACGTTCAACCGGCGCATGGTCGTTTTCGTGAAACCTTTCCTTGATAAAGTCAAAAATTTCCTGGCTCTTTTCTTCAGATAATAGGGATTCTGGAAGATTTGGATCGAGAAGGTTTGTGACTGCCATCACCTGTTGCGGCTGGGAAGATGGTGGGAAATAGCCGAGAGGTCCACCGTCCGTTCCATAATATGGCATGCTATACTGGTGTTCTCCGTAGCTATATTTAAATTTGTTAGCTTTCACATTGGGTTTATTAACCGTCATAGATGATACGCACTTAGCATACTGGTTATGCGGCATCACATGGCCCATCTGAGGTGAGCCGTCGGTGTTGAACAAATATGCGAAAAAGTCTTCTGGAATAGCCACATATGGAGACTTATTCAAGACACCGTCGCTACCAAACACTGGAATGGTAGTTTGCGTTGCCATTTGATCTAATAACACCATCTCACCATTTGACTGGGCATGTGAATGATCACTGTATTCATTAGAGGCTTGCGATGTGTAAGGCTGTCCAGGCTCTCTGGACATACCAGCAGCGGAGGTGGTCGAGAAATCCGAAGGCGGTAGAGTGAATGGTGTCAAGTTCTGTTGAGTAACATATGGTATAGATGGGGCGGACTGGGGAGTATTGCTGAGTTGGCCATGGTAATTGCCATGTTGTGTCGTGACGGGTGACATAACACCATAAGGACCGCTAACATTGGACTGAACCAAGGGCCGCGGAGGGCCAGTAGGGGAGTGGTGCGGATGTCGCGCACCATGAGAGCCGGGATAGCTTGGGTCATGGTGCATATAACTGTCAACTCCATTTGAAGGACCAGTATGAGGGAAGCCCGTCGGTGGTGTATTTGCTATCGGGGTGTAGGGTGTGCCGATGGTATCTTTTGGGGACTGGTATTCATAGTGAGCTCCGTGTCCTTGAGTGTAGCTTGGCCCAAGCCTGTCGGAATCGGGAGAAACCGCACTAGGTGTAGGGTACGGAGCTCTTACGTTGTCGACGGGGGAAGTCTGGCTGATTAACGAATCCTTTCGACTCAGCGCAGACCCCTTCGCAGTATGGCGATCTTTATGGCGGTTGCATAAGTCAAGTCGGACGAACTGGCGCTTGCAATCCTGAAAGTCGCATCTATATATCTGCTTCGGTGAATGGTTTAATTGATGACGGTAGCTTTTTGAAATAAGTTAGTAGGTAGGGCACATCGTAGGAAACGAACGTTTTCCAAAGCTCACAGATGCTCGGCCCTCGAATAACTCTTGCCACAACCTTCGGTAGGGCATTCGAATTTCTTGTCGAGACCTTTACGACTCCGCCTCCGCTTCCTCACTGGTCCATCAGAGTTTGATGAATTGTCATTCCTATTGTCACCCTCGCCAGCCTGGTCGCTATCATTGCCGTCGAGAGATCGACTGCGGCGGCGACCACGCTGCAAGTCATCTTCCTGCATAAGATTTTGCGGCGGCGTCGGCTCCTGTGCCTTGGGCATGGTCATGGTTAAGTTCGATCGCGCAAAGGGTACGGATAGTTCCACGTCTCCAAGTGGTGCGGGGAGAACAGAAGTCATGTTCTATGAAGCGTCATGATATTGCGAAGAGTCGTTGCGCCTTGGTTTCGGATCGCTCGTGGCAAGGTTATCTCACCCTCTTGTGGAGTAGCTTCCTTGTTGTTCTCCAGACTGGATAGTATAACAATTGGTCCACCAGCAATGTTTTGGCCACTCTCGACCAGAACAGACCTATTACACTAAAAACCCCGACCAAATGTGTCCGCTAATACCACACCCCGACGATCCAAGCGTCTTACAACTCGGGAGTTCGAATTACTACGGCGCGTGGCGCGTAGCGGGGTTAATCGGTTGCGGTGGAACTAGCAATGTTATAGCGAAGACGATGACGGAAATGGTGATGGCGACGATGATATTGGTATGGGCGTTGGTGGTGGTACAGATTAGAGCGCCTTCGAAACAAGCAACCTCGCCTATGCCTATGCCTATACCTATGAACTTTGCTACGACTACCACATAACGACCAAATCAAGGAACGCCGAGCGCTATATCGACCTGGGAAGCTGGGGAAGGCAAATCGGATCGCCGGCTACGTGGATAAGCGAATAGAACCAGGCTGAGGGGGGAAATCAAGGTAGAAGAAGGGTAGATGATATTCGAGCTAAAAAGGACCCAAGACGAACTAAACTGGGGAGAATGTAATTAGTCGATTTTTTTCTTCTTCTCTTTTCTTTTTTCACATATGTAGGTCTGAAGATCCCACGTCTACATAGTTAGGTAGGATACATAGTAGGAGACGGGTAGAAGAAATGTTAGGAATTTGTAAATGCCGCCCATTGCGGTAAATTGGCCATGGTCCATTTGGGAACCGAAAACGCCTTCCTTCTTTTCGAAAGGAGCAGCAAAGTACCTCCAGGGCTACTATAGTACACCTGACAGCAACCCTTAACCGTCCTAGGTAATTACTAGTTACCTGACGAAGCTAGTGCGGCGGGGTGGAGTTTAGGTGAAAAGTAATTAAGTGGGAATTTGGGGAAGGTGTAACATTGGGGACGACTAAAGTAATGTATCTACTAGGTAGCGAGGAGGTGCCCCAAGAAGTAATATGGATATTAATTTCATGTCTGCCTATATTGTATCTACATACATAGTACAAGGAACCCCGTCGAGAATAGAGAGTGCATGTACTATGTAGGTACATCCATATATTATAGTGTAAAGTATTTGTATAGACATGGGGATAAAATGTGGGGGGTAAAAAGTCAATTCAATTGATCCATGTTTACGTCCATGGATGTATGTAGATATAACAAGCAATTGAGCAAGGAAAAGCCCTACTAGGTACCCCAGGAACTGGTGGGATTTTGAACATTAGGCTTACATGTATGTATGTACATACTAGGTATGTGGATGTTGGAACTACACATGTAGGTTGTGTAGACGCATAGTACTGCATACATACATAGTTATACTCCTAACCTAGGTATGTACAATACATGCATGTGTAGTATGCATCCAGGTACTTACATACCTCGACCTTACACACACATAACATACTGATATTCAATGGTATACATAAACAACTTACAAATGTTGATAATTTGTAAGTGTAGGTAAAGGCCCGGTAGGTTCGTAAGAAACACGGTAGTCCCAGTATCTATCCGTGCTCAAAAGTAGGTTTCTACCGACCTGACGTTCCATTGCAGACATAAAACCCTTCGAATTGCACGTTGCTGCGAAAACATGACACTTGACAAGGGTCTTGACTGGTTCGTCTATAGACGAGAGGACAAGGGATAGGGCTATTGTCGGAGAAAGGAGAAAAGGGATGTCTTGCATAGTTGTATGGGGGGGAAAGAAGAGAAAAAAAAAACCTTTAGGTCGGCGAAGGCAACGCGGAACCTGAACTTGTCCCGAAACCGCGTGTAGGTCCCACGCGAACTTGTCCAACGTTGGAAAAACGTGGGAAATAAAAACACGAGTAGAGCTGAGGATAGACATACATAAACCACATGAAACATACCAGTAAGGCGACAATCAGGTCTCGGGTTGTATGTAAGTGCGATTCTCGACGATATCGTCGACCGTAGCAGGGAAGTAACCTAATCCCAATGTTCAATCTTGCCCCGACGTCCGAACAATCCGAATCTCACCGGATTTACTCAGGACTATGTGAGTAGCGGCTAAAGTGATAGATGACAAGTAGGTGAACAAGCACCACTAATGGTGATGGACTGGGTGAGGCTAAGTGTAGAGGGCCCGGATTGCTAAAATAGCGACTGGGGAGCCGGAGAATAGGGATGGGAATGGAGATGAGAATATGGAATGTGGGAAAATGGATGAGCTCGAGGTGGGGGTCCCGTTTACTATGGATGACATTGGATGTGCATACAGGGCTATATGTATAATACTACCAGGTAGGTAGTGTAGGTATGCAAGTACGCGTACGCTACATGTATGAACTACATGGAGATACTTACCCATGATGATGGCTCCCCCGAACTGTGGAGCGCGTCCCCTGTAGGTAGAAGGCTTGGGAGAAGAACCTGCATCTAATAAACCTATGGATTACAATATGTGTAAGCACACATGACGATGTATGTCTGCTCGCGCGTGTTAGAGCGCACCAGCAAGCCAGAACGATAATTGAGGAAATCCATGAATATCACATACACGTGGTCTTAGTCTTTCCTGTTTGTCAGGCTTCACTTACATTTTTTATTACGAGAGATCGCCTCTTAAAGCACCTAACAACACTTCAATGATTTATCAATTACACATTGCCAAACATAATAATAATCACACCTGTCTCCCCAATTGTCAGGCGAGATTTATCATAGGTATAAGAAGAAGTAAGGTAAGACAACCAGACCCTTAAACTCCGGTTATATGAGATTGCTATATACATTGGTTAACTATACGATGCATTAAGAACCACTGATGCAAAATAAATCAGTGAGGGTTATACAAGCAGAAGAGTAGTTACTTTTTCTTCGTCGTTATACCTTAAGCCAAGCAGTAAAGGATATTTTATATAGGGCTGTAACCCATCCGATTCCCATCCGATGCCGTTTTATGATCAAACATCCCCCGCACTCCGTACTCGTATACTCTATTTATGTACATACCTAACCTTAAGACTCCGAGGTGCGTTGGGAATATGATCCAGTAGCGCGGGCCATTCCATTCTGAGGGTTTAACCAAACTACGAGCACCAATGGTTGCCAGCTGTTCTACCAAACAGATGGGGTAAAATGTGGTGCCCTACTAGCAGGTAACCAGCATGTTGCTCCAGCATGCTGCTTCAGTAGTGTATGTATGCCGCCTTACAGCCTTTTCCCATTAATAACCTTGGAACCCCCACAGCATGAAAATGTGTGCATGTATGTAAGTTAGGATTACATATACCAAGAGATTTTCATGTGCACTTAACTAACTATCCAGAAAAAGAAAATCAAGAAAAGCATGCCACAACTTAATGAGAATAACTACCTAGTATTGATCATTCCAGCTACGGAAGAATTTCCCTCATTGGATACCTAGGCAATGATATATTCCAATGTTATATGCTAGGTTATGGATATACCTCGTAAAGTGTACTTACTACATATCAAGATATTGACATGGATTAAGTGTTAGAGGATGTTCAATGGCTAAGAGCACGGGGGGAAGCCTGCGGAGGCCGGGGTTGAGTAGAGCCGATTGATTGGCTGGATTCCCCAATTCTTGGCCAGATTTAGGCAAGGAGCTACATACTACTAGTAGTAGGTACCCACATTGCACATACCCAGCTGGTTGTACATTGTATGTATTCAATGAATATATAATTCTTCTATAACAATGTTATTGTTTCTTACATATATCGCAATGTTAACTACTACTTACCCTAGGTATGTACAAAAGGTTCTAGGTTAGGTATGCAGCCATGTAAGTCAGACTTCAACTTAGCATCAAACTACCTCCGACGGAGTAGGTATCTAGTAGGCAAGTAGACTCATAGTAAAGCCCCCAAGACGTAGTAGCTTACTATTAATACTTCCTAAACCAAACATCGGGCTGGATTCGTAGTCAGTCAGTAAGTCAGCCAGTCAGTTAGTCCCCCCCCCATCAGAAAGAACAATACGTCTCGCCACCACTCACCCTAGCTATTCTCGGTCAAGGTCATCAATATCAGCTAGCACAGCCCGACGAGGAGAGGACCAAGGAAGGCTAACTTACGCTAAGCTACCTACTACCTACCTAGCACTTGATACATATTTACAGAAATGCCCAGCAGCATCAACGATTCTTTGTTTGCCCCCCGCGCCCCCCAAACATTTCAGCAGCTCGTACGAAAGTACCTAACCTATGCTATGTAGGTTCATTCTAATATATCATTTGTCGTCATCAAGCTCAAACCGTACCGCGGGCTCGGTAAGCTCATGATCTAGACTACATACCTAGGAGTGGGTAGACAGGCATGTAGCTGTATGTATGATCAGATCTAACCCCCAAGTCACCTACCCAAGACCAGTCTAGGCATGGGGAAATTTGGATCCCGTCTACTTCATCCCTAGTATTCTCGAAGGCGTTAATGTGGCTCTTGAACATCAAATCTCAGGGAGGATCTACTAAAGAGTGGAAATAACCCGATCAAGCTAAGTTCAAGACATCGATTTACCTTATTTAAAGTAAGATATCACCTACCTAGGCAGTCACCACAGCTTAGGTACAGTATATTAATACCTTCAAGCCATCTCCAGACCCAAGTTGTCAAGACGGGATGGGAAATTGTGACCACCATACCTAGGTATCCATATGTAGGTACAGATAGGCACAGTGGAGTAAGTAGATCGATGATCACGGAAAGAAGCAAAGTACACACATATCGATGCGGGCAGCAACACCACCACCACCACCCATCATCATGCAATACGGGAACCATGGTTTTGCCCAGTGTTGTATCTTGGTAGTGTACCTACCTACACAAGCCATGACCCTAAACCGAGCGTATGTCGCGACTGAAAGTAACCCCCCGCAGATTACTCAATCTGGTTTTGGAAAGCATTAGAAGGGGAAAA